GTTATATATTTTTTTAAAAAGATAAAATGTTCTAATTCTCTGCCCCTTTTGATTATTTTCATTTTCATTATCTTTCTCCTTGGACATTCTAACATTTAAAAGGTATCATTCGATCCCAATTCTTCAAGGTCAGAGGCTTGGTGACTGTAAATTTGTGGAGAGAAGGCTGTCAGGAACTTACACAGAGTCCCAGATTCCTTACATCTGCCAGGATATAAGCTGACCTCCCTGTGTCCTAAGTATTCCTTCCCAAAGTATATATAAGTAAAATTAAGCAACTCGCCCTTCATCCAAAAAGTTTATTGTGCTTCTGTTTGTTCAAAAGATCTTTGATAAAATGTTGATAGCATTCCTGCCTCTGGTCTGTTTTCAAAAGAGCTAGTATTATTAAAGGTTGTTTGCTGTTCATCTTTTGGATGGGGAAAAAAAAAAAAAAAAGCCTGATTCTTTTTATTTGGCTTGAGCACTCAGTGTCCTTCCACACAGTGGCACCTGAGGAGTCATTAGCAAAACTAGATAAGTAACCGATGTATTATTTGCATACATGCACGGTGCACTCCCCTTACTCAGAGTGCACAGCAAAATTATTCATGTTAAGATAGAGCAATCACAATGACTACAAAAGCACATTTTACCATTCCAAACATAAGCATAGCTGTGGTGGTGTACTATCATAGTACATGATAATAGAAATGAATTATGTCAGTAAAATCTGAGGTTTAAGCTTTACCGTGACAAATATGTTCCATTGAAGTGAAGTGTCTTGACAGAGTCACTTCCATATGCAGACTGCTGAAATAAGGAGACCAGCCGCGCCCATGCAGATGCCGAGATTTGGGTCTACGTTATTAATGATTTATCATGTCACGGAGAGTTTTGAAAGCACTTTCCATAATGTGCGAACACAAGGAATACTATATGTGCATTCCAAATTAATCACAGAAGCTGTAGCTACCTTTGAAATTTCAATACCGATATCTTTTTTTTTTTTGAAACATGAAATTCTACATTCTAAACTGTATGATTCATTAAAATTCATACAAAATGTTATTTCATATCAACTGGATACTAAGTAGTGCATGTAGCTGAATTAATAGACATATATACATAGATGAGGGAAAGAAGGAGATGGAATGGAACAAAAATGTTTTGCAAACCTATTGTGTACCGTGTGCTTTCACCTGAAGTCTCACATTTAGTGGGAGGTTGGATTAAATTTCTAATCCAATTCTGCGGGATTCCAAGATTGCTCTGCCTACAGGGCACGTATAATAACATTGGCTAATATTTATTCAGTGCTTGCCGCGTTCCAAGTAAGATGCTAAGCACTTGACATGCCCTATCACATTCAGTCTTCATAAAATCCACTTGAAGTCTTGTTATGACTCCTGTTTCACAGATGAGAACACTGATGCACAGTGCCGTTAAATAAGTTATCCCAAGAGAAGGGGGGAGTCCGGACTTGAATCCAGGTTGTCACATGTTTCCAAAGCCTTCACTATTTACTACTGCTACTAACTGTGACCTCACTACTAACCACTACTACAACTAAGAGGTTAGGGTCCACCTCCTATGCAGTTACTACCTGTGTGGCCTTAGGCAGGTACCTTAAACCCTCTAAGCTTCAGTTCCCTCTTCTACACAATGGAGATAATAATAGTACTTAAATGAGAGAAGTGTTGCAAGCAGTAATACTTATAAAATGCTTAAAAGAGGTTGGCAGATAGTAAGCACTATTGCTTTGTTTAATAACTGTAATAGTTAAGGAGTGGTACTCTCCAATGATTGATAAAATTTTATTGACTATTACACACAGATTTTCTATAATTTTCAGATACATTTTATTCTTAAAACTAGATTGGAAATGAAACATAGAAATAAAATTTTGTACTTTTCCTAAAGTAAACAGAGAAACAAAAAACAGACTGTAAATAAAGTTACTACTTATCACTCCTGGGAGATATGCGATAACGGCAAAAGCATAACCACTAATTATCTAAAGCACTGACCACTTTTAAGTATTCTTTCTAGGTGTGAAAAGAGCCAAAATCTTCCTTATTTCCTTCCGTCCTTCTTCCTTTCTTCATTTATTCATTCTTCACTCATTCAGTGAACATCCTTACATGGATACTATGCTTGCCCTGGGGACACAAATGAATAAATCCCTACTCTGGAGGAGCATACAATCTAGAGATGACTATGCTCCCTGATTCAGCACATAAAAGAGTGTGAGAAAGTTGTGGGTTTCCTTGCCAGATCTGTTTAACAAATATGTATTGAGTATCTATTAAATGCCAGGCACTGTGCTAGGCACTGGGGCTGTCCAGGTAAATAAGACAAGATCCTAGCAGTTAAGAAGCACCCAGTAAGGAAGTCATCCTAAACAAGTTATTTTCCCTTCCCTGTGATAAGTTACATATCTAATCCTTGGCTCGAAATAACCTATCAGCATATTCTTCTGCAACCTAAAGGTTTTTTTATTCCTGAATCTAAGAGCTCAATCTCAGGTAAACTGTACTCTCTGGGGTGGCTCTCTGTAAAGCTGGCCATCGCAGAATTTCAGCAAAGAATTCAAGAATCTGAAGAACTGAACTTTTTTTTCTTCTCTGCTACTTGTCTGCTACTGCAGACAGAAGACAGTTCATAAGCTTTCTGCCTCCAGGTGGGTGGCGATAGGATTCCTCAAACCACTGGTCACCCTCTTGCATCTTCATTCAGTGCACAGAGCCCTTTGCCTGCAGCGGGGCTTGCTCCCTTGATGGAGAAAATACGGAATGACTGGGCACCAGTAAAACAGGCACAGCTTTCTGGGTCGGAAGTTGGCTGGGAAAGGGCCCGGACTGCCAAGTAACTTGCAATGATGTCAGAGCCCAGCACAACCTGAAAACACCAGCCAGCCAGCCAACAAAAACCTTAACAACAACAGAAAAATCACAAAGCTGTGTTGCCAAAGCTGTTCTTTCTGCCCCCTACCCCTTACTTCGAATGGGAGGAACAGCGGGAAGAGAGTTATATTTTAAAAGACTCCCCTTCTTCCTCCCTCCTTCTTCCTTTTGGTAACAAAGTGTTGACTAGCGAGGAAACAGCTCTCTGGGTGAGTCCTGCAGCAGTTCCTTGGGGTGTCTTTTTTGAGTTCCTTTTCAAGGCTGTCGGTGGAAGTTTTAGAAATAACCCAGTACAGGGTATTTTTCCTAAATGTAAACATGTAACTGTGCTGAGGAGAAAGCAGGAACCATTGAGGAAAGGAAAATCCTTTCTCTGCCCCCTTCTCCTCTCATTCACGGTAATTAACCATACTCAAATGAAAATTAAAAGTTTGGCGGAAATGCTCCCTTCTTTCTTTTTCTTTAAATGAGGGCATCACGGTTCATTCCAGCCATTTAGACCCCCCAGTGATTCATAATTCAACTGGAAATTTTAATAAAACACAGCCTGTTCTTGGATATGAAGTTTGGATTAAAATCCTCTTGTTTTTAAGTATGTGACTTTTTTCCTTTCCTTTGTGACAGTCAATTTGAAATGATGTCACTTCAAGGACATTTTCATTTCTCCCAGAACATATTACACGACACACTTGCCTGTAAAACCGGCTCATTAGCCTGCAAAATTATACTGTACTGAATGGCTTTCATTCAAAGTAGAAGTGGGATTTTTAGTAGGCAATTTCTGTATTTTATAAAGATAAAACAATGTTTGATTGCTTCTTCCTAGCTGTTTTGCTTAGTGGTTGTAAAGAGAAATTGGGGCGGGGGGACGACAAATGTAATATGGGGGCGGGCTTGTAAGGATGTGCTTAAAAAATAAATCTTAGATGAGGAAACTAAGGCATAACTTTACGGAGCAACTGTGCCTGCAGCTCCAATGGGCTGCAACGCCTTGTCCTCTAAATGTCTGGAGGAAAGCTCAAAAAAAGTGAGGGAGCGAAAAAAAGAGGGAAAGAGGTAGGAAAGCGAAAAGGCTGCTTCTCAGGCTGCAGCAGCCACCGCGAGCTGGATGACTGAGGCGCTGCGAGTTGCTGGAAGGAGCAGCTCTTCAGAGGTGGCGAGAGGGAGGGCGCGCAGCAGAGCGCCGGGGAGGAGGGACGCGGAGGCCACCGAGGGGTCAGCCGGGCCGCGGCGCCGGGCTGGGGGCCTCCAGGCGGCGCTGGCCGCGGCGCTCGGGAGAGGGCGAGCGCGCCGGGCAGCCCGCGCCTCTTGCTGTCCGCGCCCGGGGGTGGGCCCCACGCCGCGAGCTGCCGAGTGCGGGGAGGGAACGAGGCTCCGGCTCGCCTGATGGATTGACTTGAAGATGGATCGAATTACACCATTTGCCGTGCCTCGATTTGTTTGGCTCCCGCTCCGTCCCGCTGCTGCTGTCGTTGTCGCTGCCGCTGCTGCAAGGACTGTTGGTGGCGAGTTTCAGGATTATATCGAAGAAGCCAAAACCTAGAGACACAGGGATATATCTCTTTTTTTCTAATTTTTTCTTTATTTTTTATTTTCTTTTCTCCCTGAGCGTGACAAGCTTTTTTCTTTTTTTTTTTTTAAACCAGCCTCCCCCCTCCCCCCATGAGGTAAGACAGCCCTATAAAAATTTGCTAATGCTCTAGGCGCCTGGTGGGGATCGGACCCTGATCCTTGGAGCCTGAATTGCTTCTGGTGTATGTGTACGTGTGCGTATGCGTGTGTGTTGGCACTGGAGAGTTGATTTCTTTTCCAAGCTGTTCTCTCCGCCTGCCGTACCAGGGACGCGCAAAGGGCTGGAGAGGTTTGGCGGTCGCGTCAAAACTCGCATTGCTGGAGGCTTGAGGGGAGTGGGCCCCCCAACACTGTGCACCCCCCTCGGGGAAAAAAAAAAAAGCGGAAGGAGGGAGCCAGCAAAAGTTTCTCGCCAGGCAGCGCCAGCTCCGCGCTCCCCCGCATCTTATCAGGGGGAACCCGGCTGCCTCGGTGCCGGGCACCACGTCCCCAGCCCGCGCGACCGCCGAGCCAAGGCTGAAGGAGCCGGCTGCTGGCTCCGCCGCCCCCTTCCGCCCGCCCGCCCGGGAGCCGACTCTGGGACCGCCGGGCCAGGCTAGCCGTGGATGGGCGAGCAACCGCCCGCGCCAGGAGAAGGGGCGCAGCTCAGCAGCCGACGGACGAGCGGCTCACGGCGGACGCCGGCTACCTGTCAGTGCGCCCCCGGGTCGGACGGCCCACCGGTAGCGCCTGTTGGCTAGGGGCGGGGGCTCGGGGGACTCGGCCCTCCCCCAGCCCTCCAGGCTCCGGCACCGGCTTCTGCCTGGAGGGCGGCCACTTCCCAACCCTCCCTCTCCCCCTGCTGGCCGAGCGCGCCGCGGGCGGACTCCGGGGCCCAGGGCTGCCCGCCTCCCACCCGGCGCCCCGTTTCTCCTCCCGGCCGCTCTCCCCCTCAACTTTCCGTGCTTTGTTCTCCGGCTGGAAATGATTTACGGAAGCGTCTTGGACAGGGTCTCCGCCAGGCGGCAAGAGCCCAGCGCTGAGATGTGTTACGTTCTCATCTACCCATCAATTATGGATGGAAACAAATAAGGAAGAGTCAATTTTGCATGAGCCCCTTCTCCGGCGGCGAGAGGCATTCTGCAGCCGGGAGGGAGCCGCCGCTCGCGTCGGCAGCCGCTGGCAGGGGGATGGTGAGGCGGAAGGTAGGGAAACTTTTATCTCCCGTCTTGACAGCAATGATGTTTGTTCCTGGTCTGCAGAAACTGATACAGCGGCCGCCTTGGGTAATTTGGAAGGGCTTAAAGCTTCCCCTGTCGTGTATAACTCTTGGATTGAAACTAAAGGTCATAAAGGACTTGAAGGTGCGGATGAGAACTGGGTTTGAAAATTTTTTGTTAAATCAGCTCTCGGGACCACTGCTGTCAGGTGATTCTCTAAATCCCGCTCTTTTAAAGAGCTAAATGTCATGGAGCTAGAGAGGAGTGAAGTAGCGGTGTTATAGGAACCCAGAGTAGTATTCCTCATTCAGAGGTGACCAGTCAGTAACCCAGGTTCCGGCATCCCCACTCCTCACTATGTTCAGCTGGGATATTCACACAGAAGGAACAGTAGGTCATTATTATAGATATAAAGACTTTGCAAACAATAATCGGACCTTGTGTCCATCACTATGGGCCACGGCTTTCCCTTAAAAATAACGGTAGTGTTTCCAGTTACTTGGGAGAAGAAATGTGTAGGGCAATTTTCCCAAGAACTTCTGGCTCCTAAGAATTTAAGTCTGCAGTAAAATGTTTAGTTGCTTTTTAAGGATTGTCCTTCCCTCTACTTGGTATTTGGGGCAGTAAGGTGGATGCTTTTATTTCAAGGCTGAAGTCCTGGGGAAAGGTTTAACATTTTTAAATCTGGTTTGGTCTCCGTTCCTCAGAATTGGAGAAATAATTGTTTGGAGAAATTTTTCAAGGTTTCTTCCTTGTAGAGTTGAGAAATCTTATCCCAGACAGCTCAAGGTGAGGATTTTACTATTCTTTTGGTGGTTTAACAATAGGTTTTGATGCTGGTTTATCCATGTTGTTAAAAAAAAAATCCCCTCACTCTCTTTGATGTCTAACTCGGGAAATTAAGTTGTGTGTCGTCACATTTAATGTAGTGAGTGACAGGCATATTCTGTCAGGCTGGCCAATATGACACAAACATTTACGCTGGCTTAGATGAATAGAAATTGCCAAGTAAGCTCTGAGATTTGGGCCTATATTACCATGAACTTAAACATCTTGAGGTAAATAAACATAGCTGAGTTTTGTTTTTAAAGTTAGGGTCCATGCTTTGATTTAGGTCCCTAGACTGTGCTCTCAGAAAGACAAATAAATAACCCTGAGATTTCCAAATGGTGTTGTTTAGCAAACCATTTTCTTCCAGTGGTACATTTGCTGAAATTAACAGCCAGTTACTATTTCTTACTGGATTCTAGTTGTTACCTGTCCTTGTTTCTGTTAGTGATGCTGCATAGGTAACCTTTTTTGAGGAACATTTCTGTGATGCAGGACAGTGTGCCTGGAATATCGTGGCTTCTCCTTCACCAAACAGCTAGTTGACCTGAATTTGGTTTAGATTCGTGGGCAGTCTGCCCTCTTTCTCTTTATTTATTTATTTACGTATTTATTTATTTAGGTGCCCTCTAATAGCACCATCTGGTCTTGTCTCCCCTCGTTTGGATGGATTTGAAAGATGGTTGTGATGCAAACCTATTAGTCCTTAGAGCGAGGGTAACTTCCTTAGAAATCCAGTGGACTTAAGTTCACTGGCTGCTTGCTAAACAGGAAGGATCTGTCCAGTAACTTGTGCTCGGCGTAAGTAGGCCCCTGAATCCTGTGTGGTGGTTTCTATTGCATGAAAGGCACACAGACAAAGTAAGCAGGAATTGGAGCTTTGTTTCACAAAAATGCCCATAATTGTTAAGGACTTATTGAAACTGGAGAAGTTCTTCACTTCTTGCTGCTCCATCAAAATAAGCCTTGGTAATTAGCTTAGTCATTGTTCTTGCATTTGAGTTCCACTAAGAGACAAAGAGTGAAAAATGCATCTGAAATAGGGTCATTTTTCACCCTTCTGATGCATTTTATGCAGAGTTAAGAGCCTGGCTGAATGTCTAACCATTATTGGTGTAACCGTAGGAGGTGGACTCCTTTCTTAGCATATTACAAGATAAAATATTACCTTTTATTTCAGTTAATAGACTTTAAGCCTGCCCATTCTAGATTCATTTCTAGAGGAAGCAAGAAGTGCTTGAGGTATGCCAGCCAGTCAGTATTTATTGAGTCCCTGTCGTTTGCAAGGAGCTATGCTAGCCAACGTTCCAACATCAGGTGAGGCAGACACGTTTCTCTATGTTCAACTTAAGAAAGAAGAATCCAAAGAAACAGAGAGTGGCAAAACTGGATCATTTGGCAAGAAATGTAAATCTGCATCTTTTTTTGAAGGATGTTATTTCATCCTAAAGGTTTCAAGGCAAGATTATCCATACCACATATTTATAGGGGGCCAATCTTCCTGCCTTTAACACTAATAATACAATGTACTATTAGTGTAATTCACATGTTGAAACTGTCATTGGAGCAGGGGATCTCGCTTTCAATGGCTCATGTGAATGGAGACTTAGAGTTAAAATCTACCAAAGCCAGTGTCTTAGGTTGCAGCTTATTTTGTGAACAGCTGCCAACTTCCAGTTGTGGGGGAAAAATGTGTTTTGATCTATTCCCATGACATGTAGAGAGAATGAAAATCATGTAACTATTTTAAGCATATCATAACCCTTTTCAGTGAAGGTGGCTATTGTTGGGCTAACTTTTCCTCCTCAGACCCTGACAAGTGTCAGTGCAGCTGATAAGTGAAGCTGCTTCCACTCTTCCCAGTAGGATAACTAGGAAACATTCTTACTTTGAAAAGCAACCATTTATGTAACCAAGAGTGGTCAAATCAGTGGTCCACTAGATACCGCACAAGGTATACTTTTCTCAAACTTTTCTTTTCTATTAAGCTTTTGTTAACTCACCCAGATTAGCATTTTAACAACCCTGAAGTGAACTTCTGCCATTCTCTCTACTTGGACACAGTATGTAGATCATCCATCATTCTGTCCTTGGCTACAACAGGCTGCTGGCTCCATCACCATTTAGAGCTACACAGAATCCATCCGACTGTGAGCAACACAGCTGGCTACAGCAATTTTTTCTTCCACACCACTGGCAACATTGTCTGGCTGTGGTAGCTAAAGTTAACACCCAGAACAGGACGTTTCCATTGTCTGCCAACCTGTGCTGGGCCCCTCACCCACTTCTGGGGGCACACCTGCAGAAAGGCCCTGCTGGCTTGCAGTGGCATGTTCCCCTTAAGAGCGGACTTGCCTCAACCTTACGTGACCCACAGGAAAGCCTCTTTAGACTTGATACGATTACGCCACAAGAATTACAGAATTAGAAGGAGTCATTCACACCACTCATCCTAGACCTTCAGAACTCAGTCTATTGAAAGGGGGAAGAAAAGAATGGAGTAGCTTTTAGCCTGTGATCCCAAATGACTGAAAACAGAAAAAGACCCTGTCTGGTTCTTTGGAGAGCTGAAGGTATCATTGCTTCATCTCTTTTCACAAAGAACCTGTGATGTACCTAAATCTGGGACCCGTGAGTAACGGAACCCAATGCTTTCTATCACATTTTTTGGTTTGTTTTCTTCTTTCTACTCAATAAGATATGTTACAGTATTCATTGCTTGTTAAAGCAAGAATGGCATAAATCAGGTGGACATGTTTATTAGGTTATGTTGCCAAGCTTTGAAAAAAAAAAGACTTTTATAATTAGAAGTACTGCTTTTGGAGTTCGATGTGGGAAGGGGAGACTGCCTCATATTTTGGTGGGAGATAGTCTTCTCACCTCTTTTCCTAATGTTTACTAATGAAATCAGCCGCAAAACAGCTGAGATGATGTGATGCTCCTACTGCTGATGATAATGGGAGAGGAAGAAGAGAAAGCAGTACCCACAACAACTACACTTACTGTTAGTCTGCTTACTAATTTCTAGGCACACACTAAGACCTTTATCTTAATTATGTCATGTAACAAACAACTGGGGTGGGTGAGGCAGATTCTGTTATTATCACTGCTTTGTCAAGAAAAGAGCTCAAGCACCTGAGAAGTCAAGTCACTTTCCTGAGGCCTTAGAGCAGGGAAGTGGTGGAGTCAGGATTTGAACTCAGATCTCCCTGACATCTCAGCCCACCACGTCATCACTGCACTGATTTGTTTCCAGGAACACAGATCACCCTGCAATCTTCTGACTCCCTGATATTTCTGACGTTGTTTTTTCAATAAAAGAGTCATACTTTGAGGGAAATCTTTGTATTGAATGAAATGATATGTACAGAATCGGCATGCTCTTAAGTTTTAACATTTCTCTAAACTAAGTCATATTGGCGTACTCTTCTTTCATTTTTATTCCTGTTGGCCGAATAATTAATGACACTCTCTTCTTTTCAAGTGTCCTAGAACAGCATCTTCGCCCACCATTTTTCTCCATGTTAGACTTTCCTGTCCAAGATTGCAGGGCATAGGACAAACGGCAGCATTCATCACTTACCATCAAAAAAGTGCTTCTGCATCAGGGTGCGATTGACACTCATTTCCCTGATCTTGGCAGGTGAAGATCCGTTATGTATCTCTGTCCCATTCCCCAGGAGTATTTATGGGCCCCATCAGCAGAGACAGTGAGAGCTGCAGCTGTTCAAGCATTAGTGGCACGAGGATGGAAATTGTCTTACTGAAGTTGGACTGTGTATTATACTGTAATATACATTTTTCTTACTTACGGTTGAGAGAGAATCCTTTTACCTCTGTGAGTAATCAGATACGTTGTTGAGAAATTGTCACCCATGCATCCGCATTTTTTGTTGTTCTTTTTTACTCAGGATTCCTATGGGAGGGAAAAAAACAAATACACCTTACCACTACATATAATGCTGAAATTTAAGGTTTTCAACCTACATTTTTGGAAAAGAAATATGGGTTTTAAAAAGTCCAATATGTTGGTACATGTATAATAAGGCCTCAGGAAGATCTGCAATTACTTAGCCTATTATTGGAGTCTGTATTTAAAAATAAAGTCAGGAGTTTCTACTCAGCTGAGGAACTGGCACATATGAACGAGAGCAGAT